TGTGGAGGGGGTATGCGTAGGTAGATATAGGGGTGCAGTGGAGGATGGGCAAGTAGCTGAAGGCAGGGGTGAGGGCTGGAAGAAGGGTCTCCCCCCAAGATCCCAGCCTTGCAGCCTGTTCTCTTGCTGAGCCGGGTCCTTGGCTCCCCCCACAGGAGAGCAGAGCAGCTTCTCGGTGCGGTTCAAGCGGGCTGAGGGCTACCCTGTGGACCTGTACTACCTCATGGACCTGTCCTACTCCATGAAGGACGATCTGGAGAACATCAAGAAGCTCGGCAGCGACCTGCTGGCTGCACTCAGGAACGTCACCAAGTCTGTGAAGATTGGTAGGAAGCGGTGCCCGCCGCAGGGCCACGCCCCCCGTGCCCCGAGATCCCGCTGCTCTCCACACCTTATGGGGTGATGCTCTCCCCTTCTCACTCTTTGCTCCCCCCATGGAGTGTGGATGGAAGCCACAAGCTGTGGAACCTGGCCCCACAGCCAGAGCCCTGTGGGGCTGGAGGCAGCAGTGGGTGAAGGTGGGGCAGGGTGGGGGATGGAGGGTTTAGTGGTCAGAGCAGAGTGCTCCTGGGTTCTGTATCTTACCCCAGGAGGAGGAGGGCTTGGGGGGCATAGAGTCCATCTGTGGGGCAGCCCTTGACTCCATTGCTGCCTCTGCCCTGTCAGGTTTTGGCTCCTTCGTGGACAAGATGGTCCTGCCGTACGTCAGCACGGTGCCTGCCAAGCTGCGGAACCCCTGCCCTGACCGCTACGAGCAGTGCGACTCGCCCGTCAGCTTCCGCCACGTGCTGCAGCTCACCGACAACGCCAGCGAGTTCGAGAGCCACGTGAGCCGGGTGCGCATCTCCGGCAACCTGGACTCACCCGAGGGCGGCTTTGATGCCATCATGCAGGTGGCCGTGTGTGAGGTGAGCCGGGGGATGCCGGTCGGAGGCGTGTGCTGGGGCAGGGGAGTTTGGGCATTTCCTGCCTTTTCATTAGCTCCCAGTATGCTAACAGCTGTTGGAGTGCACAAGTGTGCAAAGGGGTGTGTGCATTACATGGGTGTACACGTGTGCACATGGGCGTGAGCACTCGTGATTGGTGCTGTGTGTGTGATGTGACTGCACACGGGGACCGGTGCATGCATAAGAATGTGCATTGCTAGGGGGGTGATGTGAGCACACGCACACGCATGTGCCCAGGGGGCTGTAAATGCAGGGGCATGAGTGGGTGTGTGCAGGGACTGGTGAGCAGCCACGTACCTGCTCACCCCACCCCCCACCTTCCCAGGAGCAGATTGGCTGGCGGAAAGTGACGCGCCTGCTGGTCTTCACGTCAGACGACGTCTTCCACACAGCGGGGGATGGCAAATTGGGTGGCATCTACCTCCCCAATGACAGCAAGTGCCACCTCGATGCCAGCGGCCTCCCCCCGGATGGCCCCTGGGCGATGGCCCCTGGGCGATGGCTATGCCCTGTCCGAGAGAGGGTGCAGCCTGCATGCCAGGGTTCCCAGGCACCCAGAGCCGGCCCCAGGCTGCCGCTGCAGCCTCCCCCATGACGACTGTAGCGGGACCGGTCCCTCCTGGGGCCCACAGGCCAGGACTCTTACTGAGTGACCTTAGCCTTTGGGCAGCTGCTCCCTCCCCACACCTGGCTTCTCAGCTGTGACAGCCTTGCCAGGGACCCCCCTTGTAGGCAGGGATTTGATTTTACCTGCTGCTTGCACTTCTCCTCGCTGGCGTCCAGGGTGTCATTTCAGACCAGGTCTCCACTGTGCTAAGGTCCTTTTGAACTAATACCCTGCCCTCCAGCCCGCTTGCAGCTCCTCTGAGCTTGGGGGGCTCGTATGCTGCCTCTCTGCTCCGCTATCCACGACATTAGTGCACATAGTGACATACTGGACCCTGGCATGACGCCCTTAGCTCTGCCCTTTGTTTGACGTGACCCATCTGTAGCTACTTGCTGAGGCTGGGTTTTCGATCATCGGTGCCCTGGCCCTATAGTCATTTAATGGAAGTTGCCAGCTCCTGCGTTGCTTATGAGAAGTTCATGTGGGCAGTGCCGACTCAAGCCAGGCAGTGGGCGTGCGACGAATGCACGGCCCGGCACACCGAGCACCTTAAAGCTGCAATTGGGCGTGCAGCACCTGAGAATAGCTCTAAGGGGCGGCCCCGGGCGTGCGGCACCTGATGGCGGCTCTAAGGGGCACAGCACGGCGCCCCCCATAGGTTGGCGCCCCGGGCAGCGGCCAGGCTAGCCCCCCCAGTCCGGCCCTGCACGTGAAATGGGGCGAGAAGCCATATGAAAGCCAAGCTACAGCACAGGCAGCGTCCCTGATGCATTTATTCTTCTCCAACCCGCTGGGGCCTCAGCTGACCCCCACGACCCCCAGAGCTAATTGCTAGGGCTTCTGAGGGTACGTCAGCTAGATCCTCGGGCTGCCCGACCCTGGGCTCTGGCATAGGTGCTGGGAGGGAGGAGACAGAGCCCGGACTCCTGGGTTCAACTCCTGCTTGGACACCTCCCTGTGCAGTGACAGGCAGGTGCGGCCTCTCTCTGCAGGATTACCCTTCGGTGGGGCACCTGGCCCAGGTGTGTGTGGTGAGCGACGGTGGTGTGGGGGGATGTGATAGGTGTGTGTGGTGAGCGACGGTGGTGTGGGGGGATGTGATTGGTGTGTGTGTGTCATGGGGGCGTGAGCGACGAGGGTGTGTGATGGGGTATGGGGGGATGTGATGGGGTGAGTGATGGGTGTGTGGGGGGATGTGATAGGTGTGTGTGGTGAGCGACGGTGGTGTGGGGGGATGTGATAGGTGTGTGTGGTGAGCGACGGTGGTGTGGGGGGATGTGATAGGTGTGTGTGGTGAGCGACGGTGGTGTGGGGGGATGTGATAGGTGTGTGTGGTGAGCGACGGTGGTGTGGGGGGATGTGATAGGTGTGTGTGGTGAGCGACGGTGGTGTGGGGGGATGTGATTGGTGTGTGTGTGTCATGGGGGCGTGAGCGACGAGGGTGTGTGATGGGGTATGGGGGGATGTGATGGGGTGAGTGATGGGTGTGTGGGGGGATGTGATAGGTGTGTGTGGTGAGCGACGGTGGTGTGGGGGGATGTGATAGGTGTGTGTGGTGAGCGACGGTGGTGTGGGGGGATGTGATAGGTGTGTGTGGTGAGCGACGGTGGTGTGGGGGGATGTGATAGGTGTGTGTGGTGAGCGACGGTGGTGTGGGGGGATGTGATAGGTGTGTGTGGTGAGCGACGGTGGTGTGGGGGGATGTGATTGGTGTGTGTGTGTCATGGGGGCGTGAGCGACGAGGGTGTGTGATGGGGTATGGGGGGATGTGATGGGGTGAGTGATGGGTGTGTGGGGGGATGTGATAGGTGTGTGTGGTGAGCGACGGTGGTGTGGGGGGATGTGATAGGTGTGTGTGGTGAGCGACGGTGGTGTGGGGGGATGTGATAGGTGTGTGTGGTGAGCGACGGTGGTGTGGGGGGATGTGATAGGTGTGTGTGGTGAGCGACGGTGGTGTGGGGGGATGTGATAGGTGTGTGTGGTGAGCGACGGTGGTGTGGGGGGATGTGATTGGTGTGTGTGTGTCATGGGGGCGTGAGCGACGAGGGTGTGTGATGGGGTATGGGGGGATGTGATGGGGTGAGTGATGGGTGTGTGGGGGGGATGTGATAGGTGTGTGTGGTGAGCGACGGTGGTGTGGGGGGATGTGATTGGTGTGTGTGTGTCATGGGGGCGTGAGCGACGAGGGTGTGTGATGGGGTATGGGGGGATGTGATGGGGGTGTGGGGGGGGGTGGGGGGGGATGTGATAGGTGTGTGGGGTGAGCGACGGTGGCGGGGGGGGATGTGATAGGTGTGGGTGGTGAGCGACGGGGGTGTGGGGGAATGTGATAGGTGTGTGGGGTGAGCGACGGTGGCGGGGGGGGATGTGATAGGTGTGGGTGGTGAGCGACGGGGGTGTGGGGGAATGTGATAGGTGTGTGGGGTGAGCGACGGTGGCGGGGGGGGATGTGATAGGTGTGGGTGGTGAGCGACGGGGGTGTGGGGGAATGTGATAGGTGTGTGGGGTGAGCGACGGTGGCGGGGGGGGATGTGATAGGTGTGGGTGGTGAGCGACGGGGGTGTGGGGGAATGTGATAGGTGTGTGGGGTGAGCGACGGTGGCGGGGGGGGATGTGATAGGTGTGGGTGGTGAGCGACGGGGGTGTGGGGGAATGTGATAGGTGTGTGGGGTGAGCGACGGTGGCGGGGGGGGATGTGATAGGTGTGGGTGGTGAGCGACGGGGGTGTGGGGGAATGTGATAGGTGTGTGGGGTGAGCGACGGTGGCGGGGGGGGATGTGATAGGTGTGGGTGGTGAGCGACGGGGGTGTGGGGGAATGTGATAGGTGTGTGGGGTGAGCGACGGTGGCGGGGGGGGATGTGATAGGTGTGGGTGGTGAGCGACGGGGGTGTGGGGGAATGTGATAGGTGTGTGGGGTGAGCGACGGTGGCGGGGGGGGATGTGATAGGTGTGGGTGGTGAGCGACGGGGGTGTGGGGGAATGTGATAGGTGTGTGGGGTGAGCGACGGTGGCGGGGGGGGATGTGATAGGTGTGGGTGGTGAGCGACGGGGGTGTGGGGGAATGTGATAGGTGTGTGGGGTGAGCGACGGTGGCGGGGGGGGATGTGATTGGTGTGTGGGTGTCATGGGGGCGTGAGCGACGAGGGTGTGTGATGGGTTAGGGGGGGATGTAATGGGGGTGTGAGTGATGGGGGTGGGTGTGTGTGATGGGGTGTGACTTTGGGTTTCCAGGGATCCTTGCAGGTCTCCTCCCACCCAGCACATCCTTTCAGGGCTCCCTTCCGGCCTGGGCCCCCGTGCGTGGGCTCCATGGCACTCGTGAGTGAGGTGGTGGGCCTGGGGGGTTGTGGCCTAGTGGCCGGAGCAGAGGGTCTGGGAGCCAGGGCGGGCGGAGGGCTGGCTACCCATGGGGGCGTCTCCCGCCCCCTCGGGGGCCAAGCCAGGGGCTGCTCTGACGTCCGCATCAACCAGCTGGTGAGCCCCCCTACAGCATACACTGAGCCCTGGGGCCCTGGGGATCCCCTGCTGAGCCCCCACAGCCTGGCCCCACCCCGGGGGTTGGGAGGGCAACCCGGCTAGTCTGTCCTTGGGCTAGTTCCGGGCAGTATTAGGGCGTCTCCCGCCCCCTCGGGGGCCAAGCCAGGGGCTGCTCTGACGTCCGCATCAACCAGCTGGTGAGCCCCCCTACAGCATACACTGAGCCCTGGGGCCCTGGGGATCCCCTGCTGAGCCCCCACAGCCTGGCCCCACCCCGGGGGTTGGGAGGGCAACCCGGCTAGTCTGTCCTTGGGCTAGTTCCGGGCAGTATTAGACAGGCGGACCCCTGCGTGCCCCCCCCAGCCTGGCCCCACCCCGGGGGTTGGGAGGGCAACCCGGCTAGTCTGTCCTTGGGCTAGTTCCGGGCAGTATTAGACAGGCGGAGGCATGGGGGAAGGGGCAGGCCAGCTGAGGGCTGGGGCCTTCGGAGTCCAGTG